ACTAAAATGTACCACTTTCTATTCAAAACACATTCTGGCATTATCTGAATTACTGACAGATCACCGTATTTAGATTAGGTTTATAATTCTTGTGTCAAATAAATGAGCTACTAATAACATTATGAAATGGGAGTTTTACCATATATATTTATAGCCGGATAAAATCAAAATTCAAATGCACCAGCCTTTAGTTAAACAGCTGCCAGAAAATAAAAGAAAATGTCCACATGCTTTTCTTTCAAGTTTTCCAAGCTCTGGTCACTTTCTATTGAAAATATATAATTTCTTAAAATAACCAGGGTACTCTGACATCAAATTCCTACAACATAAATAAAAGTGTAAACTAAAAAGAAAATTTAAAGCTTTGCACGAAAAAATGATAAGCCTATAGTTGGATATGTATACATATAAAATGTAAGCCGCTAAATAGTTTTCTGTGATGATTTATATCACAGTACATACAAAGGATTTTTTTAAAAAATCATGTAATAAAACCAACTCACCTCCAGGACAGGTGTTATCCAGCCACAAGTTAATATAATTATAATATTTTCTCAAGAAAACATATTTGCCTGAATTTAATTAACTATGAGATAAACAAGCACCAAACCAAAAGCAGAAAATCTGATCATTTGCTTCCTCCAGTTTGTTATACTTGAAAAGTCACTGGCTGACATACCGAGTTGGGTATATAATTGTACACAAGTCTAAATGCACTGAGTGAGAATGAATCAATTCTTGGGACATTGCCCTCTAAAATCCCGTATCAGTAACAACAATCTTCTAACAAAGCGCCAATATCTCAAATCAGTTATGGAAGTGTACTTTTCAAATATGATTGTTAAACAAATAACCTAAATAGCCTGGTAACATTTTAAAACGATTACTGTTGTAATTTAAATAATTCTGAAATAAAATACCATCTATTTATAGTTTTATTCTTATCTTTTCCTATAAACCCCGCCTTCCACTTTTGGCCTATTTTACACAAAAAAAGATCCTGGGGGATTTACAATTGTATTGCATTCCTTTTGAGGTACTGAATGAAAACACAAGTATTTATATTAAGTGTACATTCCCAACTGGATTTCTTTATGTTCTATTTTCAATAGTTTTATATGGCAGCCCCACTATAAAGCAGTAATTAGGGTTCATAATACCCACATTAAAAAGTGTGAAAACAATGGCTGATTATGGGTTGCTGCCAACATTACTTCTTGCACATTGCGGCATATACACTCTGTGCAATAAGTGCCACTTAAGTCCCTTCCTGTGTATTATGTGTAAGAAACAACAGCGGCACTTCCTAGATATAATGTGCATGCATGCAGGACACAACGCTGGCGGCAACCTAATAACCTGGAAAGTGGAATTTTGGAGGGAGAAGGAAGCTTGGAATTCAGTGGCAGAAGCCACACGTACAATAAAGGGTGGGTTCACAGTAAACCATCACTACAAGCAAACCAATCTTAACCTGGGATGGTATCTAACCTTGTATTTGCTTCAAGTAGTATAACTTCCTGCAAATATTTACTCATCAGAGATTTTTATGTCTGTAATGGATTATTTTCCAAAATATAAATTGTCTACAAGTTACTATCTGAATGAAGTATTTAAATACCAGAACACAAAACGCACTAAAAAAAAAGCAAAGAGCAAAGGCAAGCTAAAATCATTCTGTCAACAGGAATTAATGCAACATAAAATGTGGTGGCAGTTTCGGCTTCTATTCATGCATCAAAAATATTCACTTGGTTTTTGTACATCAGCCTGAATTAATTGGTAGCACGCCTGCCTACGAGTCAGAAGTCTGTGGGTTCAAATCCTACTTCGGATTTGGAACTCATTTGCTGACATTCCAATGCTGTGCTGGGGGTATACTGTATTGTTGCAGGTGTTGTACTTCAGGTGACACATTAAACTGAAGTCTTATTTGCCTGTTCAGGACATAAAAGATCCAATGGACTAATCGAAAAGAGAGAGGCTGCTTCTTCCAGTGTCCTGGCCAACAATCCCCCAAATAAAATTGGTCATTCGGCTACTTGTGGGACATTGGTGTGCACAAATTGGTTGCTGCATTTATCCATAAAATACAGTCACTCCATTTACAGTACAACTGTGAAGGATATATGAAGATATGGGAACGATACACAGGAGGATCACTTTCCCCAATGTGAAAGGCCCTATATCAAATATAAGGATTATTATCATAATTGCTTGTTAGTTATTCAGTGAAATGAAGCGAGCTACTGAAATGAACCGTTGTTACAAAAACAGTGTAAAAGATAGTTACAATTACAGTAGGTGATGACTACGAAATAATAAAATACATGAAATAATTCCAAAATACTGCTACTACCATTTGTTAAAAGAGCTCCTATAATGAGACCTAATTAAACTAATAAAAGTCACAGAAGCATGTGTTCGTTTCTCACAGTAAGGAGAGAAGAGTAATTTTCTTCCACCGTTGCAAGTTTAAAAACTGATTCTGAGGTTTTGGCTCATCACAGGCCTTTTCTCAACTTTCACACAGGTTTTGCATGTTTCTCAAATGGTCACATCTGGTCAAAATGCAAATATATTAAATCATTATGATCCTAACATCTGTTGGCCAGTCTTCCAGTGGGTATTGGCAAAGACATACGGGTTTGCTTAATCGTCCTCTTGTTAATGAAACTCAGTCTAGAATTCTAGCATTTTGCACTTTTTCACTGAAATTATACCTTATTTGTCAACCATTAAACCCCAGTAAAGCATTAAAAACTACACACTATAAATACATGTAAATCTTTTCTATGTAGCTACATTTCTAGTAGGGATTGCTAATGGTGATATGGTGGCCGAGTGTGTGAGTTGACTAATCTATTGTAGTGCATAGACCCACGATGATCTCCCTCCTCCTGTTTCTCACAGTCAGTTTCTGATCTAAGTGGGAACATTGTTGGAACCTATAATTAGAGAGGAAAGCAAAATACATTGATGAGCAAGTCAATTTGGTCTCCCAAGGTGCAATAATGGCTAATTTAGAGTAAGACAGGCATTTTGTGTCAAATTCCCCATAACGGGCCACGGTGAATGAATTCAGCTACTACTTTTCTCGTTGGTGTTGTGAATAGATTGAACATCAGCGTACCACATAAGCAGCAATTTTATAAAAATGTCTGCCTACAAGCTGTCTCTTATTTAAATCCCAGTTTACACAGTGTTTTTTTTTGATTTGGCACAGAAAATAAGGACATGGAATGAACATGGAAAGTCCATTATAAATCAGGGTAATCGTAAAGCCATTCATTTTGGGAGATCTTGAGGAAGTAATTTCACCATGGAATCAATTCACATTGTTGCAATATAACACCAAGCAATGTGACTCAATTCTGCTTCAACTCAGAAATAGTTCTCTAAAAATTCTTGGTTTGTGTGACATTTAAGGGATCATGGTAATCTAGTGTTAAATTAGCAACTAGTGATAATCCTCGGGGGTGGGGGCAGAGGGAGGAAGGGAAGGTAAGTGGGGTTCCTTGGAGCTGAACTGGTTCCCGGGTGACGTACTTGGCAACAGAATGTTGGAATTTTGGCAACGGAATGTCAGAATTGAGTTAATCTACTGTGGCCGTCCTGCTATTCTGAGCCAGGAGGGTCTGCAGGACTTCAAGGCATTGGTGTCAGATCAGCCAGCGTGACTCATTGGCAGGAACTGAAGCCGCAGACTGGTCCCTGGGAGCAGGGATTCTTCCCCTTCAGCTCCTGTTAGCCCTGCACACTAAAGCCCTAATACGTAGGATGGTCCTTGCTGGACAAGCAGCGGGAAGCTTGACAAACAGAGTGCACTCAATGGCAAACTACGGTTTTATCTGATTAAACTCTAGCAGTATCCCAACCCACACTCTGGGGTTCTCAAGCCTTGATTCTTGCCAACCTATACCTAATAATCTCAGAAATGGAGAAAGAAAAATATATAGTCAATTCACTTTACAGTATATCCTGTGAAGTGCTTTGAGATGTCTCAAAGACATGATAAGGCACTATATCAAATGCAAGGATTATTATTATTATTATTATTGAGAAGGATGCATCCCTCGAGGGAGAAAGTATTCCATTCCAGACACAGGAACATTTCCACGTCTAGGTGACATACATATGTGGAACTCTCAGATAGGTATGGGCATGCTTAAATACTGTGGTGGATTTTTATATGCGTCAGATATCCGGCTGACCACTGGCTCCATTAATCCAGTGGAGCTCCAAAATATCTATGTCCATTCTCCATCTTTAATCTGGGCCAGATGCTTTCTATGGTTGCCAGCAGCACAGACCTACATGTCTCGTGTATATAGCCTTTTAATATCACAATCACACTCAATTCCACAGACACACTTTCCAATTCTTTCTGAAGTTGTGAATCAACTTAGAATGCACTGCCTTTTCTGATTCTGTTCCAATGTTCTACTACCTTGTGGAGAAAACCCTCTTTCTAAAACTGAAAATGTATTTAACTGTCGAAAAAAAATACAATAAAGTCCATTGAAATTCCTTTGATTACAACTGAGTATAAATACATATCTTGAGTTATTACAAACAGCTATAATACATAACTTCTCAAATGTATACTAGTCTAATTTGTGTAGGAAGTGATTCTGTTCAGCTGTTCTGTACACTGTACTGTTAATCCTTTCAATACTTAACTTTATTTCCAATGTGTAATTTGAAAATGCCTTTAAGAATTGTATTACATCTAATAGTAATGTTGACTCTCGCAAGGGACAGTGAGAAATTTCTTCCATTTGAATTACCACTGATTGCCTTATTTCAATAAATGTGGAGATTTTCAAATCATTGCTCCGCAATGTGTTAGGAATTTAACATTGTTTTGTTCATCAAAGCTCATACACAAAAAGTCTAGTACTACCTTCCCAATATGGGGCACAAATAAATAAATGCAACGTATAGTATCTGCTCATTACTGGGCATATTTCAGTGGCTGAATGAGGAAACCACCTTACCCACTAGGTGATCGCAACGAGCTGGTCTTTCTGGGTGTTCTGTCACCATGCACTTCTCGCAGGTAACTGAGCTATAGAAAGTCACACAACTTTGTTAAAGTCAATTACATTCTGCTTTTGATTACTTTTGCACATCTTTGATTTAAGTGCTAACGTGCAGTAATAAATTCCATTTTATTGAATTTCATAAGTTGCTAATTGAAACATACAGCACACTTTCTAGCATTGCTACCATGAGCGAATACAGTTGTAGGTGCTTTTGCTGTCATTCTGATCTAAATAGATAATATTCATATTTATTACTTTAGTGACGATTCCCCTTTAGCTACTCAAATTCCACAGCTTGAAACACAAATAGTTAAAGTAGAGTTTCTGCACTTTTTAAGGTTGAATTTTTCCACCTATCTCAGAGTGAACTAAAAATCTTCTGCTTTGTGGCAATTTGATATAAATATGCTCCAAGCTTCAAAATGATTATTCTGAAAGCATTATTGGAACAAATTTTAAAAACAAAGTATTAAGTATCAAGCATATCAAACGCATGTTGTGAATGAAAGTTTTCATAATAATTTGTAAAGTCAAATTTCTGCCTTTTAGCAATCTATTTCTAAACAGTTCAAATATTCAAGAAATACAGAAAGCAAACAGCTTCTTTTACATCTGGGTCTAATTAAACCAAGGGAGACTGGACAACAAGTTCTTACACTCTCATGCATACAAATATTGTTTTAAAATGCAATATATCTACAAGTATGTTAAGCAGAATGCCAAAACAATATGTCAATAAATCTAATGTATTCTGTTGGGGCGGCTGAAAGCTGTTTACAGATTGTTTTTATGGCTAATTCTGTGAATAAAAAAAGCCAGGCGGTTTTGTGAGAGCCAGTTAATGCCTCAGCAGTTGGCTTTAAAACAAAATATCCAAAACCAGCACCCGGAATATGCAGGAGCACGGAGCAAACGGTTTTTGGCTGCAGTATTTCGTACCTGGCTATGATCCTTCCTGGCCCCAGGGCAGAACCAAAGGCTGTGGGAGAAAACGGATAGGTTTTAATGACACATCTCCGTAAGCATGTGCTATCACATGATGGTTCAGTACGTGCATTTTGGCCATTTAACAATCACTACGATAACATAGCCATAGGCTACACTGTTATATTCTGTTATTTAATGGTACATTTTATGGGACGTTAAAGAGTCCTCACTAACTGTTTTATGGGTTTGATTTGAATGCAAACAAGCATTCAGCTTGAAAATTTCCACTGCCATGGGTGGTTGTTCAACATCACAAAGAAATGCATGCTAAATAGATTCCTGGAACTCAAGTCATGACAAAATGACTTTTTTTTGTTTTAGAAACTAAGAGAGTGTAATGTAATATCTGGGCAGGTTTACTCTTTATTTTTGAAGAAATGATACATTAATATTTTGTCTACGCTGTTTTTTGAAGGTACTGCCTGTGCTATCGGTACGTGGACAAAGAAATCTGTAACAAGGACAGATGCATCCTGATTTTGACCCTGGGTAGTTGCTGGGAACAAAGGCAGACCTGGAAATATTATCCCAGTGTACTAACAGAGAAGTCACCAATTCCTCACCAGTACATACAGCCATCCAGATTAAGCATAACATCAAACCAATTATGGTCAGGTCTATATTTGAAATTCTATGGAAAAGGATAGCGATAATTGCTAATTGACTCTAAGCTATTAACATCATTTTTGGATTGACAAGAGAATTTCGAGGTGTACAATCAGCAGCACTTTTTCTTCTGGCATAAATGTGTTATCGCAGTTGTTAGAATCTTACAGAGGACAGACAGTTTGACCATTTCTATCCAATGTCATAAAGGGAAGACTTTGGCATCAAGGGGTCCATCCACAAGTAGAGAGGACCTGGGTTCAATTCCCAGGCAGAGCAAAACATTGGGCAAGTTTCCTTACTCCACACACCTCTGTTTACCTAGCAGTAAGTAAGAACCCGGTTGCTAGTCGATTGGTGGATCGCTTTTTCGGGAGTAAAAATCCCTTCAAACCAAAAACAAATGTAAAAAAAAATTGGTCGCTCAATCCACGACTGTCTGTGGGACGCTGCTGTGTGCAATTGGCTGCTGGGTTTCACCTACAAAATACACAGTCAATAAATACACTTTGCAGTATATTCTGTGAAGCTCTTTGAGATGTCTCAAAGACGTGATAAGGCGCTATATGAATGCAAAGCTTATTATAGGATTATCAGTATCCTGGTCTTCATGACTTTTCAAATAATCCAGGAGCAAAAGGCAGTTTTCTCTGCTGAGAAAACCCTTTATGAGCACTGAAGTTGCTGAAGGAGATCATGTAGGATTCTCATTCTTCTAAGACGTTTTGCAATTCATTCTTATTCCAATGAAAATCAAGTGAAATTACTAAGTCAAAGATCCTGATTGCCTGCAATTCAAGGGCAGCAACATCATGGCCAATCCTTCTCGATAATTATTTACTCGGTCCAGTCAGAATGAAGGTAACAGGGCTTACTATTTATTTAACACGGTCAAATACCGTACATCATTTGACTTGCAGGGACTCAGTCGCCGCTAAAATTCTGGTGATGGGCTAACTAGTGTGCAGAGTCATCAGAAAAGGCATCATCATCATCACTTCTGATGACATCTACTACGTCGCTAAAGATGATGAAAAACACTTTCCTGTGGGATTCCTTTGTCGGTGTTGTGATAAGATAAATAACGTCCATTCATCATGAGCTGATGATATGTGTGTCTTCTCAGAAGTCATGTATCTGCTTCTGCTGCTCACTGGATAAGCCACGAAAGACCTGTGTCTCAATGAGGCTAGATATTGTACACTATAGAAGGCTAGATATTGTACACTATAGAAAAGTTGGGGGTCACTTCTATAACTTTCTGATGGGAATCGAGAGAACAACTATTTCTGGACCATGACAATATAAGCATTTCTAATTGAATGATTTGCTCTGAAGCTAAACTGGTAACACAAACGTTTGCTGTGATTGAGATGTTATACCAACTTTTTAACTACGTACTTTGACAGACTGGCAATAAGGATATTGATCTCCAATTATTTGATCCATCTTTGAACCCATTTTGCTGTTGAGATAAATGAGTCAGGGGAGCAGCAAGTTGCTCAGACAGAGCTTTACAAACTTATACATTAATTGCAAATGGGCAAGTAGCATTTTGTGATCAACTATTTGAAGAAATAAATCGTAATTTTGCAGCAACAAATCTTCAAGAAGCTTTACAAATAATTTCAGCCTTTCAAATATACTAACTGATTGCTGGTTAGACTCCAGAAGTACCCCAACACACACTTTAGCGTTCCCGAGCCTTGGCTAATACTCTCTGGAATAAGGTAAGCAGAATCCGTCCCTCCAGGGAGAGGGTGAGCATTCCATTCCAAACATGAAACTTCCATGCATGAATGAAACTCTCAGTTTAGCTTGGATACTCTTAAGCACGGTGATGGGTTTCTGCATGTGTCAGATCAAATAAAAAAAGACTGATATTTGTAGATGTGACTGATATTGGTGGCCATCATTTATTCTAGCAAGGTCCCAGAAAAAGACATAAATTATTTTGACACAGGCATTAAGAGAATTATATAAAAATTTGCAGATTAAAAATTAGAGTTCAGTGCAAATTTTGAAGAAGAATTCTGGAGAATTCTACAGTTTGTAGATGTGAAAAAAAAAGTTCAATGTAGATAAATACAGAGTGATACCATCACATTGTCTAATAAGTCTTAAAGAAATACTGATTTTTTTTAATAATAAGGTAGCTGAAAAATAAGAAAATTGATCTAGTCATGGAGAAATGTAGTGATGAATATCACGCTGCAATTGTGGAACTGTACTTCTTGGAATGGAAATTTGGTCTTTGCAGCAGTTTCAGAAAAAAATGGATTACGTGATAGTCCATCAAAGATGTCCACATTGCGCTATGTTTCTGCATTACGTGGTACAGGAAGTGTTGAAGATGTACAAAGAAGTGGACCGCCTTGAACATCGCAAACTTTCTTCCAACAAGATGGGGCAGTATGTTGTACTGCTAAGGCAAATTTTGTGTGAAACTTTCTCTAATCACGTCATTTCCAGGTTTGGTGTTATCCCTCGAGATCGCCAGCTCTTACTGCCCCCGATTACTTTTGGTGGAGTTATTTTAAGTCTCTAGTTTATCAAAATCGTCCACAATCAACAATGGCTCTGAAGGACAGTATCAGAGAGTTTGTACAGGATTCCAGCCGAAACACTCAAGAAACTAATGGAAAATGTAATTAACCGTTGTTGTGAATGTGTAGACGTACAGGGAAGTCATCTTTCCATTATTATTTTTAAACAGTAGTTTAGTTAATAAGAAGGTAACAGCAAAGTCTGTATTTTTCATTTTTTTATGCACTGTTTTTGAAGAAATAAAGTAATTATTATTAAAATAAACTGTATCACAACTCTTTGGTCACCCTGTACAATACTGCATGTTTTAGAAAAGTAACATGAAATGGAAGTACCCCCTAAATACCAAAAGGAATGAAGTTCCACAGGAATGTAGGAATAAATATTGCAGATTAGTTGAACACAAGTTATAAGAATGCAAACACATTTTATATAAGGGACACTGAATAAAAAAAAGGTGATATGTAATCTGAACAGAACATTGGTTAGGCCACTGCTAGAGTATCGTGTGCTGTTATGAGCAACACATTATAGAAGATATCAGAGATGGATGCAAGGACAGGATTTGCTAGGTTGATGCCAGGTTAAAACAATACAAAAACTCAGGGTGTAAAAGGCGTTTCTGCATGGGGTATTACTGCTGAGTCAATTAAGATGCTTCAAACAGAATTAGATAAACACATGAAAATTGAAGATATCAAAAACTGTGGCAAAGGAGCAGACAAATAAGATCAGATTGGACAGCACCAGTGGGGAGCCATTGTGGCAGAGACTCCATGTGCTGAATGTCCTCCTCCTGTGCTGAAATTAGCATGTTATTAGTATTACAGTATTTGTTGTGATAACCAGGTTGATAAATGTCCTGGGAAGTCCTCCCGATGTTAAAGGCGCTATACAAATGTATTTTTGTATTGTGTTGTATTACCAGGAACATCAAAGTTTGTAAAATGCAATGTAAGGAATTTGCAGTCTACTATCATTTTTGCCCCAAAAATACAGTCAATTACTTTACAGTATATTCTGTGAAGCGTTTTGAGATGTCTTGAAATGAGACATTAAATCAAATGCAAGGATTATTATGTTATTATTATAGGTAGCCAGGAGCATTATCTCAGACTGGGCAATGCAGAGGGTTTTAGACTTGCCAATTCACTGCACCTCGCCATGGAAGTTGGAATCTGAAACTTGGCACAAAATGAGTGACAACATACACTTTTCTTCCCATCCACAATACCATCACTTGCTAAAATAAGTTTCTCTGTAGTTAATCAAGGTTCATATGGCTGTACTGCTTAGTTTTGCTTCATCCAGTGGGAGCTGGGACACAGGCCCTTCATAAAATAGAACAACAGCACCCTTCACACAGAGCAATGTCTCAGAGAACTTATGATGTTTTAAGATGATAAAAAAGTTTAATTAAGCAAGTCAAATTCTACAAACCTAGTGCATCTTCTTTTTACCCCACTCTTACCAACCAAGCACTCTTCAAGGATGACAACAACAACAACAAATTGACATTTGTAAAGCGCTTTTCACATCGGGAGGACTTCCCAAGGTGTCCCAAGACCCACTATGAACCAGTGGCACTGCTATGAATGCAAAGCACACGATAGCTATATGTGATACTGTGGCTTTGGCAAATATTTAATTAGGACATACTAAAATGCTGGCCTAGTAACATGACATTAAAACACATATTTTACATGAACGCGACAGCAAGATGTCAATCTGATCTACACAAACACTGAATCTAAACCCATGCAAATAGAATTTAACTTGCAAGCTCCAACCATTGCTGTGCAAGCTTGAAAAAATTACTCCTGAAAAGGGAAGCAGCTGAAAGGCCCAGACTCTCTTCTTGGAAATAATACCAAAATGAGCAATACCAATGCTCTCTTGCGGGCACAAGAGAATGGAAAGTAAACCCATCCCAATTATTAGAAAATGTCATGTTCTCAAACCCCCTGATAAAATAATTAATAATTAGGGAAAATAATTAATTGGAAAAAATTGAATATAAGAATGAGGTGAGCTAAGAACCTTGACAAAATAAATTAATAGGTAAAACAGATAGATGTTTGAAATATTCTATAATTGGTGTAGAATAAGAACAGATATGATTAAATTCTGCTCATCTGCTAAACGAAAACCGATCCACCGGCAGACAACACAGAATTGATTCCCGTCCCAAGGCTACCGTGAAATTACTACTCTGGTGTAGCTCTCCCGAGTGCTCTCTGGTAACCAGGAAGGCTTCAGGTTCAATCCCTAATCTGTGTTGAGTTAATTGATCTCAACCAGTGTAGCGGAGAGAACATTACAGTCGGCCATAATGTCCCCACTGCGCCTCGTAACGTCCAAACTCTTGAATTGCTCATTGACAATCACTGCTCAGGCTCAAGTGTGCAGAATGGCCAATTGACTGTGGGTTCAGAAGGTTGTAGAAATAAACCCCAGCAAGGAAGAACTAGATGGAAAATTAAATAAATTAAAACACAGATTTGAGCCTGTGTAAAATTGAACCCGAGCCAATTTAGAATTGTCATTATTTTCTGCCATAATAATAATAATAATCCTTGCATTGATATGCCTTATCACGTCTTTGAGACATCGCAAAGTGCTACACAGAATATACTGTAAAGTGAATTAATTGACTGTGTATTTTGTGGGCGAAATGCAGCAGCCAATTGCGCATAGCAATGTCCCACAAACAGTCGTGGATAAACCAATGAAGGAAGCAGTGGTTAAAACTCGATGCACAAACCATTTTTTAAAAAAAAATCTTTTTATCGCTGTTTGCGGGAATTAGAAAAAGTACCTTGCGCATTTGTGAAAAATTAGTTATTATTTCACTTTTGTGTCAGGAAAGTGGCATGTATTAATGACGGTGGAATCAAAAGGTTACATTTAGGATTTTACTTACAATGTTCCAATTTAATAAACAGCAGTTAAATTACACATTAGGCAAAGTTTCATAATTTACGTTTTGTCTCGAGACATAGCAACATTATGAATGTGACCATTAGAATTTATTTTCTTAAAGATAAGGCTAAATATTTCATTGGATGGAGAGAGAGGGATGAGTAAACTATAAACTCTGATAAAAGATTTGGAAAGTTGTACATTTGGTCTTCAAACAGTAAACATGTCAAGAATCACACTGTACAAAATATCAAATTAATGGGCCTGGGAACCTGGATAGAATGTGCTTGTTTAGTGGCACTCCCAATGTTATCTTATAGTTTGAACAGATACCCTCATTCATTATCGTAAGAGAATTTTGTTCCTGATAAAGCCAATTTTCCCACAGTATTGTACAGTATTGAATTGTCTTTGCATCTATGCCAAAGCAATAATACCCAATAACAGGAAATATTCACAGTCAATTTAATTTTACACAATTAAACTTTCCACAAAATTACATCGATTGTAAATCGATTTCTGACAGCGGGCCCATTTTATCAGCGAAACTTCGATGCCACTTCTGTAGAATTTATTTTCCACAAAAACAAATACAAATGTTTAGAGCAAGACATTTCTTTACCTTTCCCTAACAACTCCTTGCATTTATTCTCTTTCTTTCATTTAGTCTTTATCTTATTGATCTAAGAGGCACTTGCTTCATGAACAAAACTGCAACCTCACCCACCCCCGCCTACATTTCATCAAAACACATCAATTTGCAGGACTAGTTAGCATACTGGCCTTTGACCTCCGGGACCTGGGTTTAAATACAACCTTAACTGATTGGATGAAAATCTCCTCTCTCAATCAGCTGGGTAGGTCCTATATGAAATAGGTTTAATGTTGTTTGACTTTTGTGGATCAAGACGTATTCATGAAAGACTGTGGAGCTCTGTTTTAACATGATGGTTGGCATCCAACGAGGTGTAACAGCTGGTTTCACTGCATATTAAATATGGGATACTGCAGTAAACTGAGTTAGTCTGACTCAACAGGTAGCGCTCCTGCTTCTGGATCACACATTTGTCAGTTCAAGCTCCATGCTGGGATTTCTAAAATGACACTTCAGTGCAGTACTGGAGGAGTGATGTCAAAGATGCCGTGCTTCAAATATTGAGATACCGTCCTCCTGTTTAGGTGGATCCCATGATACTATTAAACAACAACATTTGGCTGAAGGACCAAGTGAACGGATAGGTCTTTAGACAGGTTTTGAAAGCAGGGGGAGTGAGAGAGAGGGCAAGGCAGAGGGATTTCAGAAACGTTGCAGAGGGTGAGAGGAAATTGACTAAAAGTTCTGTTCCCTGGTGTCCTGGCAGACAATCCTGCAGATAAATATGGTAATTCACTTCATGGCTGGTTAATGCTGTGCACATATTGCCTGCTGTGTTTGCCTCAAACACAGTTACGTTACTTGATAATTGCCTGTGAAGCACTTTGTGAAACATTTCAACATTATAGGCCCAACATCAAATGCAAAGATTATTTTTATGGCATTATTAAAGCCTGAAAATAATAATAATAATGCTTGCATTTGATATAGTGCTTTTCACGTCTTCTAGACGCCTCAAAGGGCTTCACAGAATATGCTGTAAAGTGAATTGACTGTATATTTGTGGGCGAAACGTGGCAGCCAATTGCGCACAGCAGCGTCCCACAAACAGTCGTGGATTGAAAATGACCAATTTATTATTGTTTCGTTTTGGAGGGATTATTAGGCGTGTGGAGTAAGGAAACTTGCCCAAGGTTTCACCCTGCCTGGAACTGAACCCAGGAGTCTCGCATACAAGGCGAGTGCTCTAACCACTGAGCTACAGGACTCAAGTGTTGAGATGCCTCAACACTTCACAGAAATGGATGATCACACTGGAGAGAAACACAGGTTAATATTTTGGATGTGACCCTTCTTTAGAACCGCTAATCACTAGGATTCACATGGTTTTCTTTTCATCCCTAATATTGGGCATTACATATATCTGTTATGCCTGTGGATTGGATCAAATCATACTGTTTTTTGTACGACAGCAACAAAAACACCTAACCCAAGAAGTAAACAGGCTACATATTCAAGATTGACATTTTGCAGTGAATCTAACTTCGCATATTAGACCTTTATATATCTGTGGCATTATATTTTTGTTTTCTTAGCTAGAAGTGTAATCATGATAAAGCATACATATATATTTACACTGAAAATATTTTTAAGAATTCTAAGGTCAAGTCATGGTTGTAACGCCTTTAGCATTGAATTCATCATTCAGTACTTTTCATCTCTTAAAACCATAACATAATACGAAAATGCTACACATTTGGAAAAAAAGCAGGTTTTACCCTTTTATATAAACTACCTTTGACCTAAAATAAAATTCACAGTTCCATGCTTCTCTGGGATATTGTTCACAAAGCAGGGGGATAATAAATAAGTCTGGGCACTGGTAATGATGAGGAATCATTGATGTAAATTATACTCACTCTTGGTGATGGGGGTCCTGGGAGAAGTGGACCAGTCTCTCATTACTGCCAGACCCAGGAGTGTTAATCTGGAAAAGGGAAACAAATTGCTCAGAGGAGTCCATGATGTATGCAGAGCTGTCAGAGCCAAAGATACAGTGTTCTTCTGCAGAGAGACTACATCCCACCTACTGAGGTGAATATACATTCTAGTAATGAGAAGGTTAGCACAGTCAACCAAAAAACAGCACATAAACAGAGCGAAAGGATTCACTTGAAGTGTATGCGTTTTTTTCACTTTCTTTGCCTTACCTACTGTTGTGTGCTTCAGTGACAAAAACGTGCACTTCAGAAAAATAATTTCTTTTCACAAAAACAAACCCAATAAAGCTATCTGAGCTCAGTTCCAGACTCAGATTTTTTCCATTGCTGAAAATGTTCCATTCTGAACCAACCTATAAATCTTCAGGAGTTAGCACCTTTGCACCTATATATTGAAAAGGAATTATTACCCTACTATAGAAGTTATTTTCTAAACCTACTAATGTTAAAAACACAATTTATTTTTTGTGGACTCCTTCCGATAATTATTAGGTAATACTAAAAATGAACAATTTACAACTGCTGTTTATTCTCAGTTTCATGACTCACCCATGAGAAAAACAGTCAACTATTTAACACAGACAAAACAACACAGAAGGGTCTGCTGCTTTTATTTGTTAAAACACTTTCTTCTATTGTAATGCATTTCAATAAATCAAGATGGTGCATCTTTTTTAAAAAAAATAGGGTATATGAATGAGATGTGATAAATCAATGTCACAAGTTAATAAAATATATACAAGAATGTCTGAAACCCGCATTCTATTTTTGCAGACAATATTTCCCCCCCAACTTCCAGCTCGGCAAATAAACAAACTTATTATTATTATTATTCCCTCCACATCCCTCCCTTATTATTATTAAACTAATATTATATTATGAGCCAAGTGTAGATCGGAATCTTTTCTTTTTTAATCTGCAGAAGAGATTTTCATTCTGTGTCATTGTCTGTATTCCTGCAACACATTAATCCTTTTTTTACACAATGACTGCAAGATGAGCAGACTATGCATGTTTCATGCCGAGTTAAAGGTTCATGATCGCATTATCTCATGGCGGACATGATGTTTTTATTCAGTTGTACAGTATAAAATGTGTGGAGGGAAAGTGCATTCCTCAGTCTACACTGCTGACTAGGTTTTCCAACCAATATTAATCTTATTTACTCACTTGCCATGGTTAACAAATTATACAACATTCTAGAATTTCTCTCTCTCTCTCTTTCCCTTACCTGGATAATTGAGAAAGTCTTTTTTAAAGAATGTGTGCTGATTTCTCACCATTAATCAAATAAAAATCAGGAGAACTAGCCAAACCACTACCATGTATTCTACAAGGTCTTTGTAGGCGGTTGCAAATTGAATAAGGAATGCCAATTTTTAATTGCAAGGAAAGACCTTGTTTTGACTTTCGTTTTGACACTGACAATCTTTGCATTTTCCGGTTAGAACACATACTGTATTTCAATCTGGCTGTTTGATTACATGCCAAAGGTAACTAATATTACACAGATAGGTCAAAATTGTTGCACTGGGCTCTTTCTGGAATACAAAATAATTGGACTATTTATTTTACGAGTTGCACTGTATTCATAATTGCCCCTTTAGATGGCAATGCTGGTCTTTTGGACAGGTAAAACACATTCGGGAACCAATAGGCCTGTATGGGCTTGGAGGAAAAAAAAACATCAAATGCATGGACAACTCTCCCAAGTTTTTCATTGAAAGAACAATTATGATAGAATGATTGAATTCAAAAGCACAATTAGAAGTTTAGCCAATGACCAATGAGAATACCAGCATAACAAGCCTTTCTATGTTCTGTAAACGTGTGTCATAATGTTTTACACTTTAATTGAGTCTTCCTGTACACAAGTAGCATCCAAGAGTGAAGTAAGCATTTAGTTTACTTATAAGACCATACTGGATCACTAGCAACAGAATTTAAGAGGCAGTGGCCAACCCACATGAATGTTAGTACAATGAATTTACCAGAAACTACATATGAAATCACTCTGTGCCTTTGCACTTGCGACGTTCCAGGTCAGAGAAGAAAACTGGCTAATTGAGCAGTTTGACCTATGTGATGAAATGTGGTAATCAGGGATGTTCAAAAACAAAATCATTCAAGCAAATCAAACCAGTTAAAACAATAGCTAAACACTATTTAAAACCGTAAAGTACAGGGAATAGATAGATTCCCCCTTTCCAAGAAATCAAGCAATTATCTCACATTTTAATTGTCTTAAGATTTGCTTTTTCAAATACAATCACTGAATTGCAATTTCTGACATATATTAAATACATTTATTGCCATGCTTACATACAGCAGCATTGCATCATATCATTAATATAATTGGAGGCACTGCCAACCTTACATAAATGACTATAAAAAAGTGTGATCAATTGCTTTTTCCGTGTGCAAAATAGTTTTATTGGTCTCAGTCATGTAAAGCTCTAAAGGCTAGATTGAACTGTAATAAAAACTATCATCCTGCTTCTATCTACTATCCAACCATGGCTTACACACTGTTTCTCCAGTCTAAATTATTTCTAATCTAATTCAGAAAACAACTATTTCCTCAAATGCATTATTCATGATTCATTTCATTTGCAGGTGATAGCAAAACATTACCATCTACTTAAAAAAAGTATATAAATATTCTACCCCATAAGATTATTAATGTCAATATAAAGGTAGACAGTATCAAAACCAAATATTAACAAGCAAATATTTTATTCACTGGTTTTGTGCATGGTGTGTCGAACACATTGAGTTTATTTCATTTTTTGACATTAACTGCTTTCACCCAAAAAAGGTTTTAGTGCACCAACAACAACAAATAGCATGAATTTCATAAGAGTCAGTATCTTTGAACCAGTTTAACATTGTTATTTGAGGGCAATACAGAGCGATGGGTAATAATATATTACACAAGGGAATTTAAAAAGAAAAGCAGCAATTTCACGACGCTACACTTGTAGTCATACAATTACATAAAGTGTACAAAATGAATTAGCATTATAGCATGAGCTTTCCAATACCATAAATCTTATTAACTGAAAAATGGTTTCCATATTTTACAAACACAAGAGTTATTGATTTTTTTCAGAATTGTTATGCAATAAGTCAAGCTGAAGATACTCAATGTTGGAGTAAGGGAGTTGGAATCCAGAGACTTGTGATTTAACTATTACAGCTAAGCCACAATAAGGCACAATAAATACCAACATGATGGAAAGAGAAGCTTGATGGCTGCTTTTTATCATAAAGTAGAGAGAGAAACATAATTGAGTTTCACTCAAGGCCTATGAATGGATTTCAAAGTCACATTTCTTGATGTTTCAAGCATCCTGCTAATATTTTAAAATAACAAGACAAGGTAAAATACTGCAGTTCAAATTCACTTACATGCATAAAAGAAATGAAATATCGAAAGTTAGACTCTTAATCGTCTGTTTGAGACAGAGAGCTGACGATCACTCAATCTTCCTGGTCTAATTTTGGATCAGATTTTTGTCTATTTTTGATGTGCCAGATTAGGCCATTTTTGGTAGGGGTAGGGCTGGAGGGGAGGAGAGAGAAAAATAAACTCTCAACAAGCTACAATAACATGGAGATTCAATCACCTCCCCTACTATTAGGTCAAAGGAGTTTTCAAAAGTTTACACCACTGAAGAACAACAGGAAGTTCTGGCAACTCTCGTGATTCTAACTGCTAAAAATTCTAAAAATGTAGACTAAAATGGCAAATAAATGTTTGCAATAGTGGTCTGGTCTAAGCAGATGACATTTGCATCATCAAATTAGAATTAAAAAGTATAAGATTTACCAATTTGTTTTTGGTCACATACGTGTCTCACACACCTTTCACCTGCTTAAGTTATCAAACCCGATATATATATGCCACTAAGATGTGGAAAGTTCCCTACCTCTCGAAAGAAATGCGTATTCTCTCCCTGGAGGGAGGCACCCTGCTTACTTAATTTCACAGTATTAGGTGCAGGGTGGCAAGAGCCGGGGCTTGGGGATCCCAGAGAGTGTGCTGGGGTACTGCTGGAGTTCAACCAGCTAAAAACATATAGGCTGATGATAGCTTAACCCAATTCTTGATGCGATTACAATGTTGTTCAGGAATTTGTAACCTGTGGCCACTTCGGGAAAAAGATATTTCACAGGCAACGAGTACTCACTATCAATTAGTATAGAAACTCAGTTAAGTTAGAATATATGAAATTAATCAATGCTTTAACTGAGTAAACCACTGTTTATATTCCAATTGAAACTGATTTTCTGCTGCGAGTAAGTCCACAAAACTTCACATTTATCAAAGGAGATCAATTGTCGAGGCCCTAGCAAATGTTTTTTCATGCTGGAATCATTTATCTGCTTTCATTACTGTACAAGATGATTTTCTCATCAATCTTCATGATCAATTTATCATTGTACCTGTAAATCAAGATTTGTCTCATAAATTCATTTCTACATAAATTATTTTCACGATCAACAAACAAAACATTTGGATTTACAAGGAATGAGGAAACTGTTGCAGTTACATTGAACCTAGAAAAAAGGTAGTTTATTTTACTAAGCAGTTTTTATTCCACAAAATCAATCTGCTACACTATTTTGAAACAACAATGTTTCTATCTAAACTAATATGTTGCGATTGAATTACTAGCAATCAGTGCTTGCCACTGATTGTGTGGAAGCTTTATAATGTAATAATCCTGGAGAGTAGTTACTGCTTTCCTTTTGTCTTTCCTTTATTTTTTTAAAACCATAAAACATTCCTTTTGTAATACATGGTTCAGCAAAAACATTCAATCCCTGTGCTCTCCCTCACAAAGCTCCTATTACTCCCCTCTCCCCAATTCTTGCCAATCTCTATTGGCTCCCAATATCTCTAAGCAGTGTTAAATATTCGACACTGAGTCAGTTTCTTCTTAAAATGTGATGGGGCATTCGTAATAAACCTGCCAAATTA